TTGGATTTAGGGCCCACCCTCTTAATCTAGGATGAGCTCGTCTCTAGAGCCTTAGTTTCATTACATCTGCAAAGACCTTTTTTCCCAAAGAAGATCTCATTCATAGGTACTAGGGATGAAGACTTGGACATATCTTTTGGTGTGGGGGGGTCACCAACCCACTACAGAGAACTTTCACTGTGTTTTCTGATTGCACCGGGTTGGGATCCAGCAAGAGTTTGGAGATGCATAATCTCTCAGTCACACTAAAGTCAAATTTTATGTCCTTTTAAAATAGGCCAGGGCTTCCCTGGTGGCGCAAGTGGTTAAGAATCCGCCTGCCAATGCAGGGCACACGGGTTCGAGCCCTGGTCCGGGAAGATCCCACATGCTGCGGAGCAACTAAGCCCGTGTGCCACAACTACTGAAGCCTGCGCTCTAGAGCCCTCGAGCCACAACTACTGAGCCTGTGTGCCACAACTACTGAAGCCCACGCGCCTAGAGCCCGTGCTCTGCAACAAGAGAAACCAATGCAATGAGAAGACTGCGCACCGCAACAAAGAGTAGCCCCCGCTCACCGCAACTAGAGAAAGCCCGCACGCAGCAACAAAGACCCAATGCAGCCAAAAATAAATAAATAAATTTATTAAAAATAAAAAAATACTATAGCAGCTATAGAAAGAAATACAAACTAGAAAATTAAAAAATTTTAAAAAAAGTTGTAAGAAAGATCGAGTGCTGTATGAATGGGGCAATTTAGATATTTATGTTCATAAACTCAAGTGAGAGAATGAGAGTTGAAGATAATAATTTCCAGAAGAATGAGTATTTGGGGGGAAGGTGGGGAGGAGAAATAGAGGGGGAGGGGAAAAGGCAGAAAGTTTGTAGTGACCAGAATACTTCAGATAAGACCCAGTGGTTTGATTTTTTAAATTGTATTAGTTTATCTATTTATTTTGCTCATTGTCATTCAAAGGTATTCAGCTGGATGTTCGTTTCTAATCTTGAGTTTTGATTAAAGGAGTCCTTTGGTAAATCCCTCTCCCGTACTTCCCTCCAGCTCTCTGAAAGTGAATCCCTAATTATAGGCCATGGATGAGATTTACTAGATGAAATCAGCAGCTGTGGATATGACACCAGACCCGCAAAAAATCAACACACTGTTGCCATAAAAAGCCCAATTGTTAATTGCTTCTTTGGCATCTGGCTATAACAAAAACACCCTTTCGCTGTTTAATATTCAAAGTAAATGTACTGGAAAGAACATTGGGCTAGAATTAGGGGAGGCGGGGATTCTTATCCCAGCTCTGTTACCAAGTGCCCATGGTTTGGGGACAAAACATTTCATTTTCTCAGGCCTCAGTATCCTTATCCATAAAACCGAGGGTATGAAGTCAAATTACCACTTCCAGTTTAAAAATCCCTTTCCGCATCTTGAAAATACAGCACACTTCTCATACCCATCTAGCCTTTTCCCAAAGCTCTGTTTCACGAATGCCTGATATCATTCTATAATTTTGTGGTTTGATCGGGAGCCACATGTGAATTTAAGTGTCTGCATAGTTTTCACTTTGCAGGCAGTACTTTTCAGGTCTTATTCAGAAGTGAAGTTTGCTGTGAGGCCCCACAACTCTTAATTGCTTTGGAAATGCAATCTGCCGGTGTTCCACGTTTAATATTACAGAGTCTTAACGTCATTCTTGAGATGTCTGGAATCTACACGAAGATTCTAGGATAGGTATCACGTCAAGATCCACAGTGGCTGGCTGAAGGAACAAGCCGAGGCTAGTCCATGAATCAGGGACTCACATTGGGGAGGGGAGCGTGGGGTGCAGCCAGCTGACCCAGGGGCCTCCATCTTCAGGCTTCTCTCAGGCCCAGTGCACAGGACCTGAGACAAGTGAAAGCAGCTCGGGCCACGGCCACACTTCCTTTGTTGACTGGGTCCTTTGTCTCTTAAATGTCTGGGTTGCCAGGAACTTTGCCCTCTCGCTTTCAACTGCTCGCTGGCACTGCAACTGTCCTTTATTTACCCAGTTGCTAACCAGAGTAGGATAACCTCCACTCAGGTTCACGAGGGTTTGCCTGTGTGTATTCTGGTCGGCCACAGCCTGGAGGTCGTGTCTTTTGAGCCTCAAGATAGTTGTCCATGTGCTGATAATCATACTCGTCACTTGCCTCTTGCGGGAAAGTCAAAGGGCAGGTGGGAAAAGAAACCAGCTTCCCCTGTTTAACTCCAGCTCTTGTATTTTAAGTTTCAGGAACTGCTTGGCAGCCGTACATTTCCTTGTGTATAGTTTTCAAGGGTGTAGCTAATTGTATGAACTTTCGGTGAGCTCTGGGAAAAAAGCAAGCAGCATTCCTTCTCTTCATCTTTGGAGATCCAGTTATTGCATCTGTTTTGGCATCCATTTGATGCTCCTGTTTTGTTATCTCTTGCTGAGTAACAATGCATCCAAGAATTTAGTGGCTTAAAACAACAATGTATTAGTTCTCACAATTCTGCCATCTCGATTGGGCTTAGCTGGGCAGGATCTTCTGTTCCTCGTGGTATATGCTTGGACTGAAACATCAAAGACGGCTCTTTCGCTCATGTGCTGGCTTCTCAGATGGAATGAGCGAGCATCTCTCCACATGGCCCTCCACATGGCAGGCTTGGGCTTCCTCACAGCATGGTGGTCTCAGGGTGATCAAGCTAGATTTTTTACATTGTGGCAGACTTCCCATTTTCAGCTTCTCTTAAAGACCTGAACTGACACAGTGTCTCTTCTGCCACATTCTTTTGGTCAAAGCAAGTCACAGACCAGTCTAGATTCAAGGGGAGGGGAAGTAGCCTCCACCTCTTACAGGCATAGTGAGGGAGGGAATTGATGGGGGCCATCTTTGGAGATTATCTCCCATAGTCTCCCTGGTGATATATCTCTTCATTTACTGGCCTTCTTTGTTCTTTTTTTTAAATTTTTTTGTCTCTGTTGGGTCTTCGTTGCTGCACGTGGGCTTTCTCTAGTTGTGGCGAGCAGGGGCTACTCTTTGCTGCAGTGTGCGGGCTTCTCATTGCGGTGGCTTCTCTCATTATGGAGCACAGGCTCTAGGCGTGCAGGCTTCAGTAGTTGTGCCACGTGGGCTTCAGTCGTTGTGGCTCGCAGACTCAAGAGCGCAGCCTCAGTAGTTGTGGCGCACGGGCCTAGTTGCTCCGCAGCATGTGGGGTCTTCCCGGACCAGGGCTCAAACCTGTGTCCCCTGCATTGGCAGGTGGATTCTTAACCACTGCACATTTTGTGGTGTAGGAATACAGGTCAGGCAGGAATTAGTCCCATGGTCTTAAACATCACATCTTTTACCAGCAATTCCAGGGTGCTTTGGAAAGGCATTGCTATCTCTGCCCTGGACTGTAGGGCTGAGCATCAGAGGCTTCACTGACTGCCTTGGGAAGTACAATAATGGCCAACATCAGTTGGGCACTTGCTATGGGCCAAACTCTGTGCTTATGCCTTTCTCATATATCATGTTATTATCATAATCTTTCTAGGCCTATGCACATAATTTCAGTAGCAGTTTCTGGGTTGGTCCAGGTGATAAAAATATAGCTTGGCAAAGTTGGTACTAAAGATTCAAAAATGCTGCCCACACTCAAGTCCCTCCCTCCCCAGAAGTACTTATTTCCTTGGGGTAGTTATTATGCATCCTTCTTTCCTTACTCCCTTCCAGAAACCCTTTTGTCAATTCTGTATTCCATTAATTATATATGTGTCCCACTCTGGTCCCTGTCTACCCCCAGACCCACCATCTTCCTGCCACTGATACAAGTAAGGAAGGACCCTGGAGGAAAGTCAGGGAACAGAGATCATCCAAGTAGAATTGAGTCCATTCTCTGAGTGGAGGGAAGTGCCCTGCAATCACACACAGGCCATACCTTTCAGACCACACATGCACCTGGTGCCCTCGCACAACCCCCAGGGCAAAGAAATCTGGTTGAGGGGAAGCATAATGTAATACCTGGTTCTGTGCCTGCCCACAGGGTGCATTCAGTAAACACAGTTAGGACAATGATTTTTTTTTTTTTTTTGGCTGCATTGGATCTTTGTTGCTGCGCGTGGGCTTTCTCTAGTTGCGGCGAGTGGGGCTACTCTTCATTGCAGTGAGTGGGCTTCTCATTGTAGTGGCTTCTCTTGTTGCGGAGCACGGGCTCTAGGCACGTGGGCTTCAGTAGTTGTGGCATGCGGGCTCAGTAGTTGTGGCTCACGGGCTCTAGAGCACAGGCTCAGTAGTTGTGGCGCATGGGCTTAGTTGCTCCGTGGCACGTGGGGTCTTCCCAGACCAGGGCCCGAACCCGTGTCCCCTGCATCAGCAGGCGGATTCTCAACCACTGCGCCACCAGGGAAGCCCCAGGATAATGATTATTATAGTATTACTTTATGCAAGAGTATCAGCAGGGAAACTCCCTGGCGGTCCAGTGGTTAGGACTCTGCAATTTCACTGCCGAGGGCACGGGTTCAATCCCTGGTCGAGAAAGTAGGATCCTGCAAGCAGCGTGATATGGCCAAAAAAAAAAAGAATATCAGCAAACCCAGAGCCAGTGCACACCCTGAAAAACCCTATTGAGGTAGTAGATAGCATTTTTTGTATTTCATTTATGTATTTTCATAGCTTTATTGGCATCTAATTTATATACCATAAAGTTCATCCATTTAAAGTGTTCAGCTCATTGGTTTTTAGCATATTTACAGAGTTGTGAGCCATCACCTTAAATCTAATTTTAGGGCATTTTCATCACCTCAAAAATAACTTCGTTCCCATAGCAGTGATCCCCATACTATCTCCCTCCCCCGGCCTTAGGCCACTTATCTTCGTTTTCCGTACATTTGCCTATTCTAGATATTTTACATACATGGAATTAGACACTGTGTCTTTGGGTGACTGGTTTCTTTCGCTTGGCTTCCCTTATTCACTTATTTCGTGTAAAAAGATGGTTGAACTTTTAAGTTATCATTTCTTTGATTTTTTTTTTTTTTTTTCTCCAGGATCCTAAACACTTCAAGTCAGAGAAGACAGGACGGGGCCAGTTAAGGGAAGGCTGGAGAGATAGTCATCAGCCCATCATGTGTTCCTACAAGCTGGTGACCGTGAAGTTCGAGGTCTGGGGGCTTCAGACCAGAGTGGAACAATTTGTACACAAGGTAAGTAAATGGACAGCAGTTCCTGGGCTATGGACAAAGTAATTGTCTTTGTTGTGAGCTGGAGTGCCCAATGCCCAACAGATGTATAAGCGCTGAGCCAACACGAGGTACCTGCATCTAGAAAACCCGGTTTTCATGAAAATGCATTTTGTCTACTGTTTAATTTTCTTCCACTAATAGATATCTTACACTTTATCTCTCATTCTGTGACCTCCATGTCTATTGGGTGAGTATGTTCAGGAAGTTGGGCTTTCAAAATATACTTCTCTCTTTGGCATCAGGCTAATCTAGTTCCAGAGAGAGGTACTTGTACTTGGTCCTTGGGTACTCAGGTTCAGACAGAAGCACAGCGTTTATCTGTATGTGCAGAGTCCCCCCAAGGACAGATCTCACTCAAAAGATTCTGCAAATGTAGACACCTGAGGTAGAAGTTGCCCCAAGAGACAGAACAGGAAATCCCAGTGGTCCCATTAGATGGTGTACCCCAGCATTTCTGCCCTTTTAATAATTCTGCTACCAAAGAATTATTAACAACCTCAAAACACAGATTTCAGTTGTATGCCTACTTTGACTAAACATGTTAATGTTGTAGCAGGAACCCATTTGGGGTGATGATTTAAGTTTGTTAGGGGCTTCTAACATAACTCTTATCCTTATGGAAATTAATGGGAAATACAATGTTGAGCATTGCCCTTTGTAACTCCTATTTTCATGAAAATAAATACTATCCAAGTTGTCTCTACATTCCAGATAGGCTGGATATCTGTTTATTTTTCCACTTAAAAACTGATAAAGAATAGCTTTCTGAAATTCTTTTGGGGGCACTGGAATTTAACCTTAATGCACTGAGCTTTTTGTTACTTAGATGGATTTATCTACTGATCTTGGGGGCAGTTGACAATAAAATATGTAAATCTTGAATTTGGGTCCAAGAAAGAGATTGAACTTGGGCTCCTGATAATAGCAGACCCTGGAGCAAATTTGAAGCAGAGAAGTGTACTGATCTGCTGAGCTCCAGAATCCATTCTGCCCAGCCCGGGGTGGGAGCCAAGTGGCACACAGAGAAATCAAGTTCTGGGACCTGCTGTGTCCCAGGTATTAAGCAGGAAGACAGTCCGGGCTCTCAGAGTAAATATTTTCCAGCCTCAGCTCTGGGTCGAGCTCCAGCTATATATTCTTGACTTCCTACAACATCCCACCTTTTTTTTAAACCCCAAATGATCTCCTCTTATCAGGGCCACTACCATAGTATGTTTTATTATCTCCTCTTCTCACAAAGCATATTTAGATTGCCACAGGGCTCACTGCGTTTCTTTTCTAGTTTTGAGAATCCATTTCTTTAAAATACTTGCAAGAATTACGCTCTAGTAATAGGCATTCCCATTGCCCATTTCCAAATATAATGAAGTGTTATCAACACCCCCAAAACACACCTGCTGTGGCACATGAGCCACTAATGAGTATCTGAGGCTAGCATTTGCATGGGTTTTAAGTGCCAGGGATGCCTTTCTCTGAACACCTTTGTGTTTGAAGAATCTATTCACAGTTAAGGGGGAAAAATGTTCGAAAGGGAGCCATTAGCACATTATTGAATTCTTGTTTCCAGTAGACAGCTGTGTTGTGCTTAATGCAATAGGGTGTATTTACTGATGCCTCAATGCAGTTCTTTTGATTTCCATGAATTTGACACACTCAGCACTCAAGTGTGTATGGCTTCATGTTGTTTCTTATTTTCATTACATGTTTCCTCCTTCCGAATTACAAAAGCCTCACTAGATATCCAGAGGCCTGGAGTAATAAACACTTCATTATGAAAGCTTCCCTTGTTCCTGCAAATTCACTGAATTAAAATCCTTCATTTATTGAAACATGCTTGAACCTTCTGCAAGAGGTTTTTGACAATTGCTAGATTTGTTTGGCAGGAAGAAAGGAATGTTGGAGGGAGAGCGTTGAGTATCTAAGAAATGTAAAAAGGCATATTTACAGAAGAGAGAAAAAGAATACCGTGAAATAAAAGCACATAAATGGTATATAACACACAAACCCTCTAGAATTATTTTTCTTAGTCTTCTATTGCCGTTATATGTCACCGTAAGAAACAATTTCATTCCTTTTGTCTCCAGTTAAGTTCATTATTCCCATTACTTTCTACTCTGGTTCAGGTCTCTTATTTCATCTCTTTCAAGAATAGTTGACTAAACTGCTCCCCCCCCCCCGCTTTTATTACATGAAAATCAAGCCTAGAAAGATATTTACTTCTCTTGAATCCCACACCTTCAATTATTTTTAAAAAAAATTTAGCAATATTTAGGATACTTCATTAGAAAAGAGAGAGTTTTAAGTGCTTTTGGCTTAGAAGTGACTTGCTACCCGGACAAATGTTCTTGATTTCCAACATTTATGACCTCCTGGCACCACTGAGACGCACCCTTCCACAAAAGAAAAGTAGAACCTGTTTTAGGTAAAAATAAATGAAGAGAAAAATCTTAAGGTGATCAGTCCTAGAGATTCAGTCCAGTCACTGCTGTGTGACTGCCAAGTCGTTGTCATTAGTGTGAACAACCTCCAGCCCAACTTTCAAATAAGATAAAGAGATTAATTTACAGCAAGTGTATGGACACCATGGAAAGGGCTGAGAGTAAGTATGTCAGCCCCTAATTGTCATCACATATGGCCAGAGGGATGGAGAAATTTGTAATTGCCAGGATTCCAAGAATTGGGAACCATCCCTTTTCCAGATAGTTTTCATCAAACCTCGTATTCTGTCAAACATCCTTCTTTTGCTTTTTTAGGTGGTCCGAGATATTCTTCTGATTGGACATAGACAGGCTTTTGCATGGGTTGATGAGTGGTATGGTAAGTCAACTTCCCCAAAATGACTCATAGAACAACTTCATAACATGTTGGCTTGGGCTTTCAGTCCATCTGGCTTCAACTGCTACCTAGAAAGACAACAACAAAGGCAGGGCTATTGCTTCCTGTATTGGAAACAGCACTGTCCATGGGACATAATGAAGAAAAATGTAGTGATAGAAGCTTGGTCTAAAATAACCACAACACTTAGTTATTGACTAAGTAGGACCTCAGCATGTTTGATGCTTACATACTTGATAATGCAGGGCTCCATAATTCTCTGTTGGATGGGCTTCAAACCCATCCTGATTTATCCCAAACTTCAAGATCAGTGCCGTGTGAAGCATCATATCAAGTGAAAGCAGTCCTTTGATTTAGAGACTATTGGAAACACTCCCTCACCAAAAACATAAGGACTCTGTAAGAATTCAAGGACAAAGACATTGGTACCACCTTATTTCTAACTGAGACTATTGTTCTGACTTGTTTTAAAATGCTTTGGGAAGAATTAAACAAGTTCTGTATATTTTCAGTAAATGGAAAGAAACAAGGTTTGTTTCATCCCATGATGGATGGAGGACCCTTCCCATATCCCCAGTGCTATCATTTTGTCCACATGAATCCTTGACATTCCCAGAATCAGTCATCGGAGGCTAGTGTCCTTGACTATAAAAAGAAACAAACTATAAAAAGAAACAAATGTGACTTGGGTCATATCTGATTGCCTAATGAAATGCCCTTCTCCTTGGCCTTTTCCTAAGTCACATTGAATTTGTTCTCAGTGTAACCTAGATTGCATTTTGGTGCCTTTCTGTCATTGTTCCACCAATCCCTTCCCTCCTCTTAGCAGAAGGTATCAAATTTGAAGTGAAAAGTTACATTGGACTGAATGGGCAAAGACAGTGATTGTTATTAATGTTAGCTGTTTCTGACCACATTTCAAAAGACAGGGTTCTGTAGGCTATGGGAGTGCTTTTTTTTTTTTTTTTTTTGCACAATTTTCCCAGATCCACGTCTTCTGAAAAGCAAATGCATCTTTGCATCTTCCTGGGTTTGCTCAAATGCAGACCTCTGGAAGAGACTCTTTGGAAAGATCATCATTTGCTTTCTCTTATCACATACCCCGAGGATGCTGCTCACAGGCAGCCATATCGTCACGCCTCCTGAACACATATCTGTGGTTGTCTATTGAGAGACAGAGGGAGGGAGAGTCTCCTGTGATTAATTCCCCAGATCATTAAACAAATCTTTCCGGTTGTTTTTTTTCTGGAGAACTTTTCTCAGATTCTTAAGGGGAGTACAGACACCCCAAAGGTTAAGAACTGCTGGTCTCCCCCACCTTGCACTCCACCACGCTCCTGGCATCCTTGCCACCGACACTAAGGGAATTTCAAAAGGTTGTTCAAATAAGAGGCTCAAAACTGGTGAGAAGTTTGGCAAGTGAACGGAGGCCTGAAGGGCCAAAACTCTGCCACACTGAAGACCAAGAGACAGGGCACTTCAGTAGATTTCTCTTGAGTGCCAGGATGCCTTAGAGGACTTTTCGGAAAAGGCAGCATCAAAAAGGGTAGCCGTGGGCTTCCCTGGTGGCGCAGGGGTTGAGAGTCCGCCTGCCAATGCAGGGGACACGGGTTCGTGCCCCGGTCCGGGAGGATGCCGTGGAGTGGCTGGGCCCGTGAACCATGGCCGCTGAGCCTGCGCGTCTGGAGCCTGTGCTGCGCAATGGGAGAGGCCACAGCAGTGAGAGGCCCACGTACCGCAAAAAAAAAAAAAAAGGTTAGCCGTGCCCTGATTAAGAGGACAAAATACTGCAAGCCTGTTGATCAGAAAAGAGAATTTGAGTAGAGGCAAGATATAGAAAAAGAAAATGTGGGCGGGAGTCTAGTAAGGGAATGGCTGGAGTGCAGAGGATGGGGGCCGATTCTTTTCCATCTCACCTGAGCCTGAAGCAACGAAGAGACTTAAAAGACTTTTAGTCCAAAACAAAACAAAACAAAACTCAGACTATTACAGGGGCCCAAAGTTAGAATAATGCATCAAAGGAAGACCTTTAAGATGAGAACATCTACTTAAGATGGGTGAGGTGGAGACAGGAATTAACTCAGAGAGTCTACTGACAAAAAGCCCTTTCTGTATCTGAGTGCAGAAAAAAACCATGTGGTTTAGCAGATATAGATGGTCAGGGCACCTTGTACTCCCCAGAGAAGGCATCCACCCATTATATATACAATCCTAGCCCCAACCAAAACAAGCAGCGCTTTCACTCAGCAAGGGGTCTGAGACCCACCCCATCAATTTCATTTAAATTACTGGCATCATTGCCCCCAGCTGAGCTGCTTGCCAGGAAAACAGTAGCTCCTTCATTACACAGATGCAGACACTCAGTCAAATAAATGAAAATAGCCCTGCTCACAGCCCCTTATTCAAGGTAATGCTGCAGACTGCGGGCCTTTCAGGTAAATGGCTGTGTCACCGCCCACCAGAACAGACCTTCAGTTTTGGGTACCTGAAGTTGCTTATTTTTCTTTGGTCTCTACAGGCTCAGTGAGGCTCTCATAGTAAACATGGAAAAGGTTCAAATTAAAGAACTCCTTTCCTATAGCTTATGGCACTTATTCTGCAAGTGGGCCTGCCCCATCAGCGTCCTTGGGGTACTTGTTACAAGTTCAGATTCTCAGACCCCACCCCAACCTGCTGAATCAGATACTCAAGGGGTACAGCCCAGCAATCTGTGTTTTAACAAGCCCTCCCGATGAATCCGATGCTCGCTAAAATTTTAAGAATGACTTTAAATCAGATTAGATTGAAGGGACAGTTTAATTAATTCAATCCAAATTTAATTATACTAGAGAGTGGTAGATGTCTTCAGGGCCAACTGCTAAACTCTGATAACTTGTAAGCATTAGGAAAAAGGCGCCCCTTCTGGGCAGTTTCAGCAGGTGCTGTCAGCTTAGGGCTGAATTTTAGCTCCATTGACCTCCTGGGCTGTGTGTTCCTACAGTGCCCAAACTGGACACCCTTATGCACTGGCAGCCCAGGATGATCTCTTTCTCCCTGATTAGACTCACCACCTCCAGTGCTTAATTAAGAGTAAAAAAAAAAAAAAAAAAAAAGACACTGTAGATGATGGTGATCATTTCTTGCCCAAGGATTAATTTTGTATCTTTTCTGAATTTCAGCATTTGACTGTCACATAACTATTTCCTAAAACAGATTTTATTCTGCTCTTGTACATTGTAAAATATAACCATTTCCACTGCTGGAGGAATTGAGTTTGTCTTTCAAAGCCTTGATTGGTCTTTATCCATGAGCCTTGGGTGTCTCCTGCATGACTGCAACACTAATCAGAAGAAACAACTGCACATTTCAGAAGGTGGGGTGAAAGGGGAGGTGGATAAAAATAGGCAGCCCTGCTTCACCAAAGCATGGCTTTGCTTCACAAATCTGACAGTATTTTGAGAGAGGAACACAGAGGGTTTCCCAAGGGAGGTTGTGATTGAGTGGAACCTCGTGAATCCTGACCCTTCTAAAAAAGTAGAGGTGGTAGCTCTGGCTAGTATAGATGACACTCCCTCATGAAAGTGACATAGAAATCATTCTGGAGTCCTTAGAGCAGCCTAACAATGAGAGAAGCAAGCTCAAGGTGGAGAAAGAAGCCAGCTTAGGGACTGGCATTAGCTGACTGAGTTCACCAAGCCAGCATTTTCCAATGGCCTCAGGTTTCCTGAAACATGAACTTGAGTGCTGTGGCCCTTATGCAACATTTTATGTGAGTGTGCTTACCTTCATTTTTCCGGGGAGAGAACCCACTGCTCTCCATCACATTTTCAAAGGGATCTGTGATGCGCCCTCCTCCACCTCCCCAAATTAAGAACTGTGGGGAAAAAATCACAACTATAGATTACAATTCTAGATCTTAGTGGTCTGAATTACGTGGAAAGGGTATGCACCAAGCCTTGAGGATTGGCTACTTTCACTACAAAAAAGTAAACTATTTATAACAAGCATCTGTTGAATTTATAACCATTTTAAAGAGTTTAAAAAAAAGAAAAAAAGCACTTCCCAAAGCATGGCCACCATTCTGCTGGAGTCAAAGGTGTATCAAACCTAATTCATGATTGCTGGAGCTTCCTCTGACCAACCACTTGTTTAAGACTTCCATTTTGACTTAGAGAAAAAAAAAAAAAATTACTTCAGTAGGCTGAGGAGCCTGGAAATAGAGAGAAAACATTTGTAGAAGGAAATAAAATATAATGTGCCATTGGACAGGTCACTGAATTAGGGTATATGATGCTTTATTAAAATTGTCGCCACTGCAGCTGTGCAATACAATGAAGGAAAATCCCTGCTTGCAGACATTTTGCTCCATGTCATTTGCAAGTTTCTCTGTACGTTCAAATGACTTCTATCCTGAAGGCTTTTCAAATATACAGTCTTGCCTTCACTTCCAGTGAAATAAACCTGCCTTCTTTAATAAAATGATTGAAAGAAAATTGCCACCAGAAACAAAGTTGAAAGACTAACAGAAGCTATCTGCAACATGTGTAGCCAACAGAGGACTAATATCTACAGAATATAAATCAAAAATCCAACAACTCAATAAAAAAAAAAGGTTAAGAACATAAATAGGTAAACCATGGAAGAAGAAATGCAAATGACCAATAACCTCACTACTAATCACAAGAAACGTAATGAGAACAACAAGAAGATATGACATTTGCCCATCTGATAGCCAAAGTTTTAAAGAGCGATAATAATCCAGTTTTGGATAGGTGGGAGAACACACTAACAGTTTCTGTATAAAAGGTGATAGTGATAAGTACAAATAACCTGTGACCCAGTAATTCCACTTCTAGATATTTATTCTTGAGGAATACACATGTTCGTGAATATAAATACGAAGCTGTTCAGTGTAGTGTTGTTTATAAGAGCTAAAATCTAGTCTCCATGTAAATGTCCATTAGCAGAAATATGGTCAAGTAAACTATGGTAGACTCATACTATGAATATTGTGTGTAACAGTTAAAAAGAATAAGGTAGTTCTCTACATACTGGTGTGGAAATATGTTTTTCCCATTAGTGGAAAAAGTCAGCCAGAATAATATGTATCGTATGGTATACTATAGTATGATTCCATAAATGTGAAATTAAGTGAGACTGTGTGTAATAGTAACATACACGTGAATTCATAGGAAAAAATCTGGCAGTTTTCTCCAGAAGGAACAGGGTTGATAAGGGAAGTTAAAAGGAATTACTCTGTTTTCTCTATGTAATCCAGTGCTACTTGAATTATTTCTATGGAAAATAATTCATGCATTACTTGAGTGATTCGATGAGTAAATAATAAGTGAAATCCACATTTTATAACAAAGCAGAAAATAGTTGAAGCAGACCAAGACTCATACAGAGGTATATCTTGCTTAGTACATGGTTTAAGAAACTGAAGAAGCTTCTCAATTAACGAATCCCCTGAATCCAGAGCTTCTTTGATGAAGCTGAGCTGGTGGTAGAGAAAAGGGTTCTTTCTACCCAGGCCAATTCAGTGTGACCTCTGCATGCTAGGACAGAAGTCTGGGGTCTGCTTACCCTCCTCACCTGAAGGAGGACGAGAAAGAGAAGGACAAAAATGGTCTTGCAAGAGGGCAAAGACAGAAAATCTTGCGATGAAGAGGGCATTTATACCCCCAGATTATCAGTCACACTCAGATAGCCAAGTGTCAAAGATACTAGGACATGCCTTCCTTATCAGAAGAAATTTGGTACTAGTTCCAATAGTCTCTTAAATCAGGGAGTTAGGCCAGTGTTATTTAAGAACACTTCATTTAAGAAACTTTACTTAAGAAAAGTAAATTATGACCTTTCAAATCTATAAAGTAAGGGGTGATTATTGATCAGTTTATTTGCAAAATAATTGACATACGATTCCTTTGAGTTTCCCTGATACACATAAGCATTTGTTTGCTGGGAGCAAAGAGATCTGAACCTAAACTGTGAGAAGTCACTCTGATCATTGAAAATCAATCAGTAATGAAGATGAATCATCTCCAAAAGTGTAATCTGTCATTGTGTGTGTGTAATTGAATTTACTAAAAAAATTGATTCATGTGTAGATTTTGAGGTAATATACTTTGCTGAAGCAAGACATAATGCATTCTACCAGATAACCTGAATAGGAACATTTTCACTTAATTAGGCTTTCCATAAATTATTGAGGAATATTGAAAATGTTGACATCATTTCCATAAGCGTGTATGGTATGCGGGGATAGTTCAGGATTTAGACAAAAGTACTGGGTTGGCCTAAAAGTTCATTTGGGTTTTTCCATAACATCTTATGGAAAAACCCAAATGAACTTTTAGGCCAGCCCAGTATTTTCCTTCAAAATGGGCTGGGACCTAATTATCATCAGCTTTTAGAGAACTACTAGAAATGTTCTTCGGGTTTTTTTGTTTTTTGGCCATGCTGCTCGGCTTGCAGGATCTGTTTCCTGACCAGGGATTGAACCCAGGCCACGGCAGTGAAAGCACTGAATCCTAACCACTAGGCCACAAGGGAACTCCCTAGAAATGTTCATTCTTATGTGGTCTAATTGAGAGATTTTTTTTTTTCTTTTAGATGAAATTTTCTGCAACTTGGTTTCTTAACTCTTCATTTTAAGAAAAAAGGAATCATGTTTCTAGAATAGGCAAAAATTTCTAGAAAAGTATATCTTACCTATTTGCAAATTGATGGTATCCATCTTCTAATGACCTCAAATAATCGATTTTAAAATAATGTTCTCTTTTTCTTTCTTACAGAAGTAATGCATATTTGATACAGAAAACTTAGAAAATATAGATAAACAAAAAGGAGAAAATGAAAATTACCTATAATTCCAGCTCCTCAAAACAATCACTCTTTTAACATTTTGAAGTGTACCCTTTCAAAAGTCTTTTTTAAGTGTATATAATGCTTTTCTGGTAAAAAAAAAATGATTTCTTTTACCTCCAATTTTTTATTTAACAATATACCAAGGACATTTCTCTATAGTGTTAAATATCCTTCTGCATCATTTTTAACCACTGCATAATACCATCAGGCCCCTGAGTTGTTTTCAATTTTTCACTATTATGAACAAGATAATAATAAGTATCTTTGTTATTAAATCTTTCTTCACATCCATAAAAATTGAGATATCTTTGAAAGCCCATAGTCACACAGTTTAAGCCCCTCTCTTAATATCGAGCTAATTAAAAATAAAGAATGATTTCCTTTGAGATTCACTAGAACAAAGAAATGAAACCGCCTTTGTTTTTGTTTTCAAAATTACTGGCATGCCAGCGAGGGGGGAAATAAAGTGTCTAATGAACATATGTATGGAGAAATTTTAAACTTTTAACTTAAAATGACCTAAGTATTCATTCCAGGTGTATTCGTGTTTAAGAATTTTGATCACCAGCCATTGAAATTAAAGTGATTGTATTGAAAGGATGTTATTATTGTTAACTAAGACGCATTTGTTCTAATCACAAAGCAGCATCTCTTTACTGCTTTCCATTTGCCTTGATTTTCTAAAAGAAAAGCATGCTCTTTGCTTGGCCAGACTGTTGCTTGGCTTTCTTGATACTTACATTGCTTATGGACAGCATTTTTGATTAACGGTTTCGGGGTGTGGAGGGGGACCATCAGCTAAATAAAATAGCCCAGGTGTGGATTTAGAGCTGCCCCCCATCTTGGCCGCAAGACTACCCTGAATTAATTCATAAACTTCTGGCAAGTCTACCCTTTAGAATTGAAGAGACTCTCACATGACACACATGGATTGATATAAAAAGACACCGGACCACATCATGCAGAAACGACTTAAGGAAAAATTCCAGCTGCACATAACCCACTCTACGTCCCCACCAAGCTAACTAGTGACCAAGGCAGTAGCTTGATTAACCAATTGTTGTGCATGTACCATTCATTGTAAAGAGTCATGAAGTTAAATTCTGCCGTGAGAGTCTCAGAAGAATGCCCACTGGGGAAATTGCAAATAAAATGTTGTAAAATAACCAAGGAGTGGAGTGGGGAGTGGAGGATAAAGCAACAGAAGTATTTAATGTGAGACTAATTGTTATTTTTATGTTTCACCTATGGAAGATAACAGGTTCTTTGTTGAAGTTTTTTATCAGTTGGATTTAGACAAGGCTTCTCAACCTTGGCACCACTGACATTTTGGACCAAATCATTCTTTGCTGGGGAGGCGGGGAGGACTGTGCACTGTAGGATGTGCCACAGCATCCCTGGCCTCTACCCACTACATGCCAGTAGCACCTCCACCCCAGTTGTGACAACCAAAAATGTCACAAAACTGTCCCCTGTTGAGAACCACTGGATTAAGAAATGAGCATTCTGAAATACTGAAAAAGTGAAGACTCAGGCCAAACATCATCATGTCATGTGCCATTTTATTTAGAGATCAGTGTGGGTGGAAGTAGTGCCACCCATCTTTGTGCTATTATGCTAGACTTGAAGTTCAGTGCAGACCTGTACTCTCTGACACCATGTATTCTGTGCAAAAATACCTCTCTGTGTGAGCATTGCACCAAATCTCACTGGTAGCAGTGAGCATCATTTCTCTGCCCTCTACGTCATGTCTCTTACAATAGCAATGAAAGTGTTCTTTCTGTTGAATGCATTGTTGTAAAGAATCTCCAAATCTATTTTGAAAGGTATATGGAAGGTAAGTATTAGACCACACAGACCTGACCCTGTCCCTTAAAGGGATCTTCTAACCATGCTTTTAGGAGATCTCAGGCTACAGCCCTATCCACGAGCTAATACTTTCTACCCACCTAGCTCATTTTACAAGAATCACCCCTAAATAATTTCCACTCTTTTCAGTTCTAAGACTATTTTGACTTAACTTCCTTGTATTCACTCCCCCTTTGGCTGGTTTGCCTAACTTTATGATTGACTCTTCATAAAGTTAGTGAGTTCCCTGCTTTTTACTCCTCTCTCTGGCTTCTGCTAAGCTGCCATCTTCCCCTGAAGTCTCCCCCATTGAAAGTTTGGATTTAATAACGGAAGTTGCCAACATCTTGACCTTCTTTCAGATATGACAATGGATGATGTTCGGGAATACGAGAAAAACATGCATGAACAAACCAACATAAAAGTTTGCAATCAGCATTCCTCCACTGTGGATGACATAGAGAGCCAGGCCCAAACAAGTGTATGTAGAATTTTTAAAACATGTTGCCCACCCTTTACCAAACATACACATAAACTGATCTTTGAAAAGACTTCAAATGCATCAGTTCTCAAACTTCCACAAAAAAGCGTCATCACCCAGAGGCTGTTGGTGAAGAACCTGAGCTGGGTCTTAATTGGACAGTGTTACCTCTTGCTTCCAGACATTTCCATTCTTTAACGCTGCTTGACTCGGGGGGGTTATTTTGGTCATAAAACCAAGAGCATGTAGAGTGGAAACATTGTGTGGCCTGCACCACAAAAGAACAGAGGGGTGAAAACAGACGTCCTAAGAAAGCTAGACCATCAATGCCAGTAACTTTTAAAGACATAGTTAACACTCATTCATTTAAGTCATTCATTCTGGCTCATCTAGTATTTTAGGTTTCTTTACATTTGCTTTGAAATGCTTTCTAGGGCTCTTTATGGCTATCTGACCCAATCACTTCCTTTTTACTTAGGTTCATGTCCAGATGGGGCTGCCATCTATGCATACATACTGGTTGAGCAGTGAAGGTGTGGTGAGCTAGATCTAGCCCAGGACTTAAGCATCAGAGAACCTGAGGTTATTTAATGGCACATTGGTGATTGAGAGCTGACCGTACGGTGTATGCCAGCATCTTAAATATAGTTCTATCTCAATCATTCGTGCTAATGAAGAGGAGTGACAGACAACAAAGAAAAATGTAATCGCCAAGTCATTTAAATGTATCTTTGGCCAGAGCTGTGATCTCTTTGGGTGCCAGCTTGAGCCCACATGTCTGTTAGCCCCACAGTAATACACATTAGATATTTAAGAAATTGACAGCGTAGTTACAGAAAATTGACAGATGGCTATTGTTGTAAATGCTTTAGATATGCAAAGACCTTTGGTTGCACTTTGGAAATTTCTAGTGAACTTTTGAGAGCATGTCTTTGGAATGTGCCCTGTAAAACCTATGTGCTGCTATTGGATGCATGTGACTGCCCTTGAGGTTGAAATGGACTTCTTCCCCATTTTGGATGCAGTGATTGGATTTGCAGAAAGCTCTTTGGATCAGGAGGTGTTCCTCTGTAGGCACCGACCAGTTCCTATAGGACTTCCCCCTTCCTCTCTCCCTGTTCTAAAGTTAGAAGTGCTCATTAAGGAAACTGTCCTTGAATTTCTATCACTTTCAATTACCTTTTCTTTAGGAACGTTAGACACCTGTTCCCTCTCAGCTGCTCTCTGAAAGCCACTCACTATATATAAGCACCACAAGACAAAGGAAGCCAGAGGAAAGGGGAAGATGCCAGGTAGCCAAAGGATACTAAACAGTGCTTTCCTCATTCTAAGTTCTTACACCTTATTGAATTTGTTACAATATTGCTTCTGTTTTATGTTTTGGTTTTTTGGCCTGGAGGCATGTGGGATCTTAGTTCCCCGGCCAGGGATGGAACCCTCACCCCCTGCATTGGAAGGCGAAGTCTTAACCACTGGACCACCAGGGAAGTCCCAACGTGGTTACCTTTAAATGCTTACCACCATTTCCCTTATTCTTTGAATTCCATCAAATTGGGGGTCTTTTATTTTTCTATATTTTTCTTCTCTATCATAATGAAAAAGTTGAAATCAAGGGGCTGCTGTCCATCACAAATAAAAACTGCATGGGTGCTCAGTAAATTTAAATCATTGACCTGAGTAGAGACAAACTAGATTGAAATTAGGCAAAATGAACATCCATGGCCACGGGCAATAAGGAAAATAACAGTCTCCTATTCAATTGAGTAGGTTCAATACTTTCAAGGAGGAGAACTTCTAAGAGACTCTGAACCGGAGTGTAAAATCAAACTTCTGTACTTTGGATGATTTCTGCCCCCTGCTGGATGTGTGGAGTGGAGCACTATATTCAGCCACTTGTATAGAAAACCTGATTTTTCAAAGATGATATCATTTATTATAGCAGAAACATACTGCTGAGATTTTGCTGACATTCACTGAAATTTTTCTGAGTCTCAATTTGTTTTATTTTTCTTATACTTTTTTTAAACATATTTATTGGAGTATAATTGCTTTACAATGGTGTGTTAGTTTCTGCTTTATAACAAAGTGAATCAGATATACATATACATATATCCCCATATCTCTTCCCTCTTGCGTCTCCCTCCCTCCCACCCTCCCTATCCCACCCCTCTGGTGGTCACAAAGCACGAGCTGATCTCCCTGTACTATGCGACTGCTTCTCAATTTTGTTTTGAAATACCTCCTTTTAAAGAACTTAATCTTATTTCTGAGCTTGTTTAATAGTCTTAGTATTTTTTTAAAGTGGTAAGTTTACAGGTACAGTTCTTGCTATATTCTGAATTTCATATTCTGTCAACACAGGCATAATTTTTTATTTCCTTTGTAAGAACTTTTTCCTTTCAGAAAATTTTAATAATTGTTCCTAGGAAATCCTCTCAAGGATTTTGTTTTTTGTGCAATATTCCTGGTTTGCTCATATGTTATATGACTCTCTGTCTCTCTGTCTCTCTCTCTCTCTCTCCCTCTCTCTCTCTTTCTCTCTCTCTCTCTCTCTCTCTCTCTCTCTATATATATATATATATATATATATATATATATATATATCCTAATGATTAATACTATATTAACTCCATAGTTAGTATTTCCAAAGGGACTCTATGTTTCATACTATTTTATGTGGTATCATCTAATGTGGTATCACCTACTAAGTTCATGGGAGAGGCCACAAATGAAAAATGGGTCTCTGGAAGCTAAAACAGATGTAGAAATCCATGGGCAGCAGATTTCACATTTTACAAGCTTTTAGGCCTTCACTGAGCTTTTTCTAATATGCCCAGTTATCTGTTTTCCCTGTTACCAGTAATAAAATTGGCAAAAGATACCAGGGATAGCCAGACTGAGAGTAATTAATAATAACCATAATAGTAGTAGTAATAATAATAGAGTTTCTAAGAATGAGAGAAGAGATACTAAACTATATAAAGCAAACCGGCCCTAAGAAAGAAGGCATCACTGTATTGTAACACAGTGATATTCCTTCAGTGTATTATGTCTAAAATGTAGTAAGTGTATATAATACGTTATTCACTGTAGTTACATTAGGGAAGGATTTACATTTAAAGGAATTTTTCTTTTTTACTTTCTCACGTAATAACATTTCAGGTATTTGGAAAGTCTACACCATCTGACAATGCCTGTTAAATGAGGCGTCACTGAATTTATTTCTTGAATGCCAAATAATGCTCTTTTTTCTTTTAAATAAAATTCTCACCCATTATGTGATACTATCCTTTTGTTCTCTGCTCTTTTTCTTTTTATGTTTCCTTGAGAAATGGTTTCGTTTTTTTGGTTTGGGGATAGTTAGCAAAGTTTGTTGTTGTTGTTGTCATATCTTACTTGTTTTTTAAGAAGAAATAATTAAAACACAGCGTCTGAAAAATCTCAGGGTGGATACACAGTCAGGAAACAAGTAACCCCTAGAATACATAAAGTATATTCATTGAATAAGAGGATAGCATGTTGAAAAATTCTGATGATCTGCCTATTTACCCTATAAAGGTGAACTTATATTTTCACGATCTAAAGTGGATAATAGTATGTATCATTTTGGGGCCATTGATTGCTTTAATAATCTTCCCTTTATAGAAAAGATGGCCAGGTCTAATAATAGCTCTGCATACCATACCATACGCACAACACACAGACACACACAGCTCCGGTGTGCTTCTGTACTCTCCTGATAAGTTCTTTTTTCAGAATACTTAAAGTACTCACTGAAAATTGCTTTGGACAACCTTGGATGGTTACTCATAAAGGAATTTTTTTTTTTCAGAGGTCTGCCTCAGTAAAAAGAAAAAAATTCAGGGCTTAGCATTTCGATGATAATTTGGGTTTATAATCTGGAGAGATCCCCTTATCATAGAGTTCTGATGGGTCCTTTAAAAACAGGCAGAGAGATGAATCCATTTGCATCTCTTCTAAATACCTGCTCATTTTTTTCTTCTTTCTGTTTTTTTCCTTTAAGACATGACAATGGATGAAGTCCGAGAATTTGAACGAGCCACTCAGGAAGCCACCAACAAGAAAATTGGCGTTTTCCCCCCTGCCGTTTCTATCTCCAGCATTCCCCTGCTGCCGTCCTCAGTCCGCAGCGCCCCTTCCAGCGCTCCATCCACTCCTCTCTCCACAGATGCGCCAGAATTTCTGTCGGTTCCCAAAGATCGGCCCCGGAAAAAGTCTGCCCCAGAAACTCTCACGCTTCCAGACCCTGAGAAAAAAGCCACCCTGAATTTACCTGGCATACATTCTTCAGATAAGCCATGTCGGCCTAAAGCAGAGTAGCTTCATAAGAATATTTCATGGGGTTTTATATTTTCGGTTTGGGGTCTTGTTTTTTTTGTTTGTTGTTTTTTTTTTAATAATCTGGTATAGAAAAAGACTGCTTTGTCACTCAAACATGTCCCTTTGATCTTTTGAGTGTGCATGTAGTTAAGTAATTTCACATATGATTCCTTAAGTGTGCCACACAGCGTCATATTAGATGTAAGATGTAAGACTTGCAAAGGACAGAAGGGATCTTCTGTAGCCACAGCTGGATGCCAGGGAGGAAGCCTTGTTTATTGGGCATTTGATGAGGTTGGCATGGACTTCCAGGGTAAATAAATGAAAACTTTGCACCACTGTGTTACAAGGTGTAGTGAAATAGTGAAGTCAGTTTCCTCCCATCAAACCTGAAATTCTCAAAAATATTCTCAGGCACAATATACCTAATTGTTAAATTTTGAACTGCTCCTTACCAATACTTGAATACCAGTAGTTACTGAGATTCCTATTTGCGTTAGTCTGACTCAGGATTTGGGGCCTAATTAACTCTTTAAATTTTTTGGAAATTTTAATTATCAACATGTAGAGGCTCCAAGTGCAATTAACAGTAACCTATTTATACCTTTCACAGAATTTAATAAAGATTCCACTTGTTTCTGTCTTTTAATAACTTTCCCCTTTGTACCCTTGTGGCCTCAGAAATCTTTTAAGAATTACATGGATGAATGTGACCATAACTGTCTGATTTGGGGATGGTTTGGTTTAGGAACCAAGAGGCCCAGGTGAGGCAAACGTCTTTTTTTTTCTACAGGTACCAACGAACCTTGACCTATCACCTTCCATCATCCTTTAAGATTCTCAGAATTTGCAATTAATTGAGTAGAATTCATTGACTCTTTACCCATTCAAAGAAGTTCAAGGATAGAGTAAACTACCTGGACTTTAACACTGTCAGAGTTGTCTCCCATCCCCTTCCTCATTTTACTCTTAATAACATCTAGACCTCCCTGAACGGATTGCCCATCACTAGACCTTAGAAAAGATTGTCATTCTCTTGCTCCTTACTTGAAATCCAAATATTGGGAATGTCACAAAAGTCGAGTGAATACAGTCGAGTGGGAGGAGAAAATGAGCAGAATGGCTGACTCCTATCTGTAGAGTAACAAGGAAAAGTGATAAAAGATGCCCCTCTGTCTAGCTTTCTTTTCTGAGAGTATTGGTAATGCAAGATTAGACTCAAGGTTGATGGGAGACAAGATCACTCACCAAAGTGGCAGAGAGAGAACTCTCCTTTGATCTAAAGAGAAGACTGCCACCTTTGCACCTCACTGCCTTTAAACACAGAAAGAAGAGCAAACAGAATCTGGCATTTCCTTTTGTCCTCCAAGAGAGGAAGAGAACAAGGTAATTGGGCAACTCCAAGGCCCCAGCTAGCCTTCCTGACCATAACCTCCAACCTCAGGAAAGGGACCTTCCCCAAACACAGATTCCAAAGGACACTACATAGACCAAGGAGGGTATCCTCCTCCTCTTACACAGCCTCTCAGCCAGTGGACCCTGCCTGCTTCTCTCTCTCAGAGCACAGCACTCTGCCTAGTGTCCTTCCAGTTAACAGACTCTCCCAAGGTGCAGGTGCTGGCCCCATGAGCCCAGCACCAAGTGTTCTAAGTCATATGTCAGATTGTCAAGATCATTTCTTTATCTATAGGTTGACATTTAGCTTAATAAATAAATAAACCCAGAACTCAAAGGGAACCCATTGCAAATAGCTTAGATCAACAGTGCATCTCTTCCCTAAGAATGATAGCACCATAGTAAGACACCGCCTTTGCATGGTATGGTAGCATGATTTTTGCTTGTGGGAAAACTCAATCTTTTATCAAGACCCCTTGGACTTCTCAATGGCTCTCTTTCGACACAGTAGCACTTAACAAGAATGTTTCCCTTTGGAAGTAAAATTCTCCTTTCAGAAGACAGTGACATGGTGTGTATATTTGCTTACCATTTGCAAGCTGAAATCAGGATGGGGTGGGATCGTGATTTTTGCATGGAATGAATTTATTTTGTGCGTGCTGTTCACACATCTAGACCTAGTTTTTCTGTTGATGCCATTGCTAATTTTCCATTTTTGTAAAGTAGCTTCTGCTATCCAGGTCAGCAATTCTATATGCTTTAGAAAGCTAATTTCTGGTTTCCTACTGTGAGTTTTCTTTCTCTTATAGCCAGTACAATACCACAGACATTACTTGCAAAACTACCACTGATAGTGTAATTCTTAGCCAACAAATATGTGTGCTCTTAAAGTATGTTCAGTTTTTCTGTCTACATGTGGTTTGTGTGCATTTTAATGGGGGGGGGGGGAGACGGGTGCAGATATTCCTTTAGCTGCTTTGAATATTTAGTCCAGTCATCACAGGGCATAAATGACTTCAGTATTTTATTTGTCTTGATTGTCAAGTGTCATTTCACAGTCTCCATACATGAATTTGTTTATTGTGGGGTACAAGCCTGCGATGAATGTGTATATAGAACATTATTAATTCCTATAAGGCTGGAAACTAAGTGGCTGCATGATGGAAATTTAGAAGAAAAGAAAAGCAGAAACTTGAATTCATTAAGCATGTTTAGGGGAAGAATAGAATCTTAACTCAGTGCCTCTGTCTGCAATGTGGAAACCTTCAACCTTGTTCACCAAAATTGTACTATACCTGTATATATATAAATATAGTGAATCCGACACCACCAGTTTTAAGTCTCTGGTAGCCAAATTAAAATAAATAATCCACAGAATAACACGTATGTTCACCCGATCTTTGTCTCTCATGTTAGTGGAGACCATCAAAATGACCATAGATTTCATTACTTTGAATGGACTTCAAATTACGAAATGCCCTTGTGCTTTTCGTTGGCCATAGTACAGCACTGTTGCTTTAGCTGTGCTTTCCCAGGATAAGAAGCCCTTGGTGTTTTTACTGCATAAACTTTGTCAGAAGTCAGCTCTGAAGACCATTTCATTTTCCTGCTTTTGGGCTGGAATAAGACAAAGCAAAGAGGAAGCATAACGACAAAGGAGTCCGTGACATTTTTGTTACTACATGATAACCAAAACAGTATGAGTTCACTGGTGAACGAATTTATAAACCCTTCTGTTTTGGTCTTGCATTTGTGTGAGGGAAAATGGCTTTAAGTTATTTGGAGGTATTTATTAGCCATGTTTTTGGTTGTGAAAATAAATCTCTAAATAGCACAATTGTGTGTGTCTAATGTAGACACTCAAAAAACACAAAAAGACCCCCAAAAGTTATGTGGTTTTCTTCCAAGACACTGTAATAAACAGTGACCTAAGAGAATAGATTCTGACACTACTCAAGAAATCATTTTTCCATGAAAATTTCAAGGCTAATGGATTTATGCGTATTTTAAAATTCTACTCGCCTTAGCATCTTTTCAATGGCTCAGAGACGACACGTCACTGGCTGGCATAGGTCAACAACAATTTTACTTTTCAGAAGGGCCAGAGAATAATTTACTCCACGTGTAATACGTACTCAGATAATCCAATGGGAAAGATTGTTTAAATAGTTTTAGTCCCTTTCTGATCATCTGATTCAGTAGGCTGGGTGACGATATGCCATCTAAGCCATAATTCTTGAAATTAAAAAAAAAACCAGTGACTGCACTTGATCATAAATCATTTAAAACTATTCTTTCCTGCTGAAACCGAGTGTTACACAAGAGCATGGCAATGGCATACAGAGGCAACACATACCAGATTCTTCTGTGTTCTACCTTCAAAACAATCTGTTTCATTTGAAATGTAAGTGTTTAAGCTTTTTAGGAGTTAGTGCAATAAGAGAATGTGAATATGTTGAGACCTTTCCAGATGCTGTTATTGTTATTTTGTCGTTAAGTTAACAGATGCCTTAGGGTAAGCCTCTCAATGTTTTTGCTTAAAATCGAAAGCCTGTCTGTTGAATTGCAAGTCTCCCTTCAGTTTGTGTGTGTCACCAAGGAGAGGTTCTTTGAGTTGATGTTATACCTGTGCCACTTGTATGTAGCTTCAAGTGTAATTTTTAGCGTTTACATTTCGAGCTGAGATCTTGATTAAATGAGTCAATATACCACTGCCACAGCTGAGGGACCAAGTTTTGGGCTGCACAGTGTTATAGACAGCAAGCAAAGCAAACAAAATTGATCCTCACACACGCCATCCTCCTGTGTCATTTTATGGCTGTTTTGTGGTTTTTTTCCCAGTTATTTATTATTGATAATAACTTACTTTTTCTTACATTCTGTTGTAAATAAAGTACAAAGCAATCTTCTTTCCAAGTGTAGCTTCCTCTCTGTCTTTCTCAGATCTTCCCAAGGGAATGTTAACTATTGGGAACTTGGGGGTTGATGGGAAAGAAGCTATCAAGGGAGAAAGAACAAGCCAAAGGCCGGAACTTAGACCCAGTTCTAGGGGACTTGTGTGCAAAGAAGCCTGGTCTGCTAATAGGCGTATGGTGTCTTCAGGGCTGGGCCCTTGGTAAGAAATGCCTGGGTGCCAGCTCTAACTCTCCAGCCAAAAAATACCCAAAGTGAATATAACCCGGTGGGATACACATGCAGACTCATCCATCCACCCATCAGGTGCTTGGTTACCCCTCATCAAATGTGAGGCAAGAGTCTTGAGTGGTAACCAAGGTAAAGCATCCCCCAGGGAATCTGTAGGAACACCACCTTAGGGGGGACACAAGATCCTCTCCACCGCAGGGCAAGCCAGGTAAGCTGCGCTGAAATGGCTCTGACCTGACGGTGGTTTCTCCATCTCAAGTAGCTCCTGTTGTTCACAAAAGCGTCCTCTGGGGACGGGAGGAGGAGCACAGAAATGCTTTAGCACCCATCTTTCAATAGTCTCCTCGGAGCTTAAGCAGAGACACACCTCTCCCTCCTATTCAATCCTGTAACGTGTGTCAGTATCCATATTATTATTCTTTTTATTGAAGTACAGTTGATTTACAATGTTGTGTTACTTTCTGCTGTACAGCAAAGTGATTCAGTTATACATATGTACATTCTTTTTCATATTCTTTTCCCTTATGGTTTATCACAGGATACTGAACATAGTTCCCTGTGCTATGCAATATGACTTTGTTGTTTATCCATTCTATATATAATAGTTTGCATCTGCTAATCCCCAACTCCCAATCCTCCCTCCCCCACCCCCCATCCCCCTTGGCAACCACAAGTCTATTCTCTATGTCTGTGAGTCTGTTTCTGATTTGTAGATACGTGCATTTGTATTATTTTTTAGATTCCACATATAAGTGATATCATACGGTATTTGTCTTTCTCTGTCCGACTTACTTAGTATGGTCAACTCTAGGCCCATCCATGTTGCTGCAAATGGCATTATTTCATTCTTTCTGATGGCCGAGTAATATTCTGTTGTATATATGTACCACATCTTCTTTATCCATTCCTCTGTCGATGGACATTTAGGTTGCTTCCATGTCTTGGCTGTTGTGAATAGTGCTGCTGTGAACATAGGGGTGCGTGTATCTTTTCGAATTAGAGTTTTGTCCAGGTATATGCCGAGGAGCATCCACATTGTGTGCCTCAATCTCTGATTGCGCCAGGCCACAGCTTCCTCTGACAGTGCACCATAACACACTGAAGATGGTCGCCAGATTACGTACACTAATTCAGTTAATCAAAACATGCTTGAGTTTCGAGCTGCAAATTCACCATTACCACTCCTGCCCTGCCATTTTATTTATTCATTTATGGCTGCATTGGGTCTTCGTTGCTGTGGCGCAGGCTTCAGCAGTTGTGGCACGTGTACCTTTTCATTTGTTCTTCAAAACACACGAACTTCCCACACGTAGTTGCTGACTGAAAGCGAACTCGGTACAGCCAGGCTGGCTGTTTCTTCCTGGGGCCAAACTATATAGGTTGCCTGATGTTAAATGTATAGATATTTATCACATCACCAGTTTCCCTGTACAGCTTTTAATCATGATGTTATCTCATTTGAGTGTTACTCTTAGATTTCTGCACACACACGTTCTTTTCTAAAACTTCCTGTTTCCTTCACTATATTCACTTGGGATTTTTTGCCTCCAGCTTCCAACTGTACCTTGGCCTCTCAGGTTTAAGCTCAGTCATGTATCGTTTCTCCTAGCCCTGCTCTGAAATATCCCTAAATGAAAATGTTAGTCTCAAGCCTGAAGCTTTGATGGCTTTGGAACAACTATCAACCTATGTGTACGTGTACATTCATGTGCATGTGCGTGCATGTGTGCATGTGTGTGTGTGTGTGTGGTGTGTGTGTGTGAGCCTGTAACTTGTGTGGCTGATCCAGACAAGCCCTGTTTACCAGTTTATTGACTTTCTCTGCTTAATTTTTAGCCCTCTAGTATTCCGCACCTCCATAAATTCTCCCTTTTCTACAGCATCTAATCTAGTAGGATATCTCATTCAAGTCCAAACATTTAACTACTTCTCCTTCACTTGGGAAAATTGGAAACGGCCTGGAACTAACTTTGCCCTAATATTCTTGCCCGGTACCAGCATGGAGGACTTGAGCTAATAAGTAGCCAAAGAAACTGGACATGGCCTCGGGTCCTGATTCCAGCCATTCGGTACAGCAACATTAAACAGCTGAATTAAACACCTGGAATTTAGGGGATAATTATGTTTAACTGGAAGTACCAGCTGTCTTCACTAAAGGCAGACACTAAGGACTGGGAATCATCATTTCCCACTCCTTTAACTTATAGAAAGGAGATTTGGCCGTCTGTTACTCAAGGGTGTTTGAGGGCAGACAAATCTGGACCTTTGTGATTTTTTTTAAAAAATCATATTCCAAAACAACTTTCCTGCTCCCACGGGATTCTGCATGCAAGATGCTGACAGTTTACTGCTCTTTAGCAACACTTGGGACTCACTCTGTGATCTTCAGCACACAAGTGATTATATTCAGAGCAGTCCAAAGATAGCTTGCTGCTCTCCATGTGCAGTCTGCTGTTAAAGACAGTCATCAGTATTAACGTGTGCTATACCTCTTCCCAGAACACAACTTGGAAATTTAGAAACATGTCTACGAGTTTGAATTTTCCCACTCTTATCTTAGGGTTATTGCATTTCTTTGCATCTTGTTAAAATCTATTATACGGACCCAAGATCGTGAATTTTCTTTTCACCTTCATTAAGTACTTTGGAATTTGCTCTTTCTTCTGCGGAAGGTAACTCATAGATGCATACCTTTCTACAAAACACTTCAAGGATCTTGAATTATTTTATAAACACCTTTACATTTGGTACATAACATGGCCATCATTTTCATAGCTGTGTAATATTCCATTGGGTTGGAAATCTATCATTTACTTAAACATTGCTTTAGTATTTGGCATACAGGTTATTTTCTGGATTTTGTTATCATATATAGGGTTGTTAGGAACATCTTTGTAATATAGTTTATGTCTTTTTTTTTTAAGATTTTTTTGATGTGGACCATTTTTTAAAGTCTTTATTGAATTTGTTACAATGTTGCTTCTGTTTTATGTTTTGGTTTTCTGGCCACATGGCATGTGGGATCTTAGCTCCCCGACCAGGGATCGAACTCGCACCCCCTGCATGGGAAGGCAATGTCTTAACCACTGGACCACCAGGGAAGTCCCTATGTCTTCTTTCTAATTATTTGTTTTGGATAAATTCCCAGAAATTGAATTACTAGGTCAAAGGATATAAATATATATATATATTTTTTTATATATATAAATTTATTTATTTTTGGCTTCATTAGGTCTTAGTTGCTGTGCTCAGGTTTCCTTTTTAGTTGCAGTGAGCAGGGGCTACTCTTCGTTGTGGTGCGCAGGCCTCTCATTAAGGTGGAAAGGATATAAATATTTTTATGACTTTGAGTGTTTACTGACAATATCTCTTCCATAGAAAATTGTACCAATTTACAATTCCACTGAGAGTGTATGAATAAGAACATTTGTCTTTTTTTTTTTTTTTTTGCGGTATGTGGGACTCTCACTGTTGTGGCCTCTCCCGTTGCAGAGCACAGGCTCCGGACGCGCAGGCTCAGCGGCCATGGCTCACGGGCCCAGCTGCTCCGCGGCATATGGGATCTTCCCGGACCGGGGCACGAACCTGTGTCCCCTGCATCGGCAGGCGGACTCTCAACCACTGCGCCACCAGGGAAGCCCCTAGAACATTTGTCTTTTTAAACAAGTATTTGTAGTTTTAAAAGTTCACTATTCTCAAGTTATTAAGCAATGGCTAGCATCCACTTCCCACGTTAAGTCCTTTCTTTGTTTAATGTCTTAATATTCTCTTTTGGGGTGTTCATATGATGAAGGGCAAGTCTAGACAAAGAAGTTCTCTGATTTATTTAAATATTCCATGCCTTCCCTAGCTTAGAAATGTTGACTGGCTACTACAGAAAGAAAAGCATAAGGAATTGCATTTTATTGAATAAACAAACATCAATTTTTTTAATTTAATTTTTATTTTATGTAGGGGTATAGTTGATTTACAATGTTGTGTTAGTTTCAGGTGTACAGCAAAGTGGTTCAGTTATACATATGCATATATCCATTCTTTTTCAGGTTCTTTTCCCATACAGGTTATTACAGAACATTAAGTAGAGTTCCCTATGCTATACAGTAGGTCCTTGTTGATTATCTATTTTACATATTCTAGTGTGTATATGTTAATCCCAACCTCCTAATTTATCCCTCCCCACAGCCTTTCCCCTTTGGTAACCATAAGTTTGTTTCCAGAGTCTGTTTCTGAACAAATATCAATTTTAAGTGATTTTGTTTTCAAGCTTTCATTGATAACAAACATTTAATGCATTTTTACTTGAGTATTTCCTGAAAACTACCATATATGTGCCAACAAGTTTTGTTTGGTTGGTTTTTTTGCTTGTTTTTTTTAACCAAGAGAAAATCAAAGTAAAAACTCGAGAATTTTAGTTTAGAATCAGTGATTTCCTGGTTCTAATAGAACCTTGGTAAGGACAGAGCAGAGTCCTTTCAAAGTCTTTTCATTTAACTTCTTGGAAAGAATGCGATGATGGATTGCACACATGCTCCGAAAAAGGAAGGTAACAGTCTGTGTGTCATCCCCTCCTGAGCCACGTGAGAGTCATTCCTGGGGAATAGAGAATTTTTCTCAGGGAGAATGGCCGTTTCTCACTCATAATAAGGACAAGGTATCAGATTTACCTGCAAGTTAGTTCAGAATCTGACTGCAGTCTTTACTTTTTTGTTGTCAGTGTTGTGTGTGTGTGTTTAATATTTATTTATTTTATTTATTTTTTTGGCTG